CCGTCGAATGGGACGTCATCGCCGTGGATATTGTCAGCTATTTGCTTCATGCTCATGCAGAACTTCGCGATCTCTGCTTTGTTGGAGAATGTTGTGATCACAATATTGACCAGCGTCACGAGAGCGACCATTATCAGAATCACATGATTGATGATCCGCCGCCGTTTCCGAGAACTCTCTTTGATCTCGCTAAAGAAACCGCTGGCGAAGAATAGGATAGCCATAATGCCCTGAAATTCGATCGAAGCGATTTGTAACCCTCGCGAGAGCTCGGTTCACTCATCGAGCTCAGTCGGAACCCGCAAGTACTGACCTGGAGTGTCAAAGAGACGGCGAGCATGACGATTACGAATTGGTATCTACCGATGTTCGAGAGCTCTTTGCTGTCAATCGCAAATTTGAGCTGCTCGCAATTTGTTGTGAACAGAGCGATATCGAGGAAGCCGCCGGCGATCATCATTCGTCTCGAGGTCAAAGACATTTCGTCATACTCATTTTTGGCGCGCTGCTCCGGTGAGATTCCCTCCACTTTCTTCTGAAATAATAACATGAGAAATATCCTGGGTCACCCGGGAATTTGCTCACCCTCCCCATTACCGTGAATGACGTCAGCCGAGCATGGGAAAGAAAGGTACAGCTGACGCAACTCGAGAAGCTCAAAATCGGCCACACTGAACAACTCGCTCAGTCCGTTTCAACGCTAAGGTCTCCGAACCTTATATCTGAGTCCGGACTCGTCGAAAGCGTCGGATAAAGCACGCCGACCGATCCTATCCCCGGCGAAATGCTCTGTAAAGTCGGACCGAATTACTACTCTAGCCGACATATTCCGATCATACCTACCTCTTAAGTCTCAATATTGACCCCAGTCGAGTAAACTTTCTTCCGTACGGTCACTGATTTGCTGGGGCATCGTTGAGCCCATGGCGCTCCAGAGCTCTTGACTGCTCGAAATGCAAGGGAACAAGGAGAGGCGAGACCACGCGATAGAGTAGGGAAGCATTCTAAGCTGCGGGATTTGCTGAGCGAACAACGATCCAAACTGGCAATCATTGGGAGAGCCTCCTACTAGGAACTAAACATAGAGGGAGCGAAGCCGACACAGCTCGAGAGATAGCGCTCTATCAGCCGTCATCCAACCAGGGGATTGCTTAGGAAGCGCAAAATTCTGATGGTGATTTTCACTCTGCATGGATATCGCTAGAGCACTGAAAAGGCCTCCGGGAAATCCGTCGCATCGCTCCGAGCTCCTCCTTGGAATGCGAAATTGGGCATGAGCGGTGCCACAGAGTCGTACTAATTGTAAGTTCCTCGCGTAAAGCTCCGCAGGGTTGAATCGATCCCGGGCTGCGGAATGCAGAGCGATCCGGGATGAGAGGCGACGATGTGCGATCATACAAGAGCCTGAACAAAGGCAATGAACTTGAAAAGTGAACTCCATCCCGCCGCTCAGGCGCTAGAAGAGCGCGGGCTAGGTCTCAAGAAAGCAGCTTCCCGGAACGAATGTAGATCGTTCTCGCTCATCCTGCTACATTGGTATTGGGTAATGGCAATCACATCACGAGGATGTACCAGCGATGCCTCCCTTCCCGAACGCGTTCCCACTCCCAGTCACCCGCGCGAAGCTCATCCTGTAGGTTCGGATGGAGAACCACTGTCAGAGCCGCGAAATATGCAGCCCATGTTTTTTAACGAAATCAAGCTGGAGGCCTCGTTCCCCTTGAGGAGGATATAGAGAATTTGGAACATCACACTGATAAATCTTCTGGAATCGATGCTGTATGGTGCGAGAAGAGGCCTAGCCTCTCAACTTCATATTACGGCGAAAGTTGGTGTCAAGCAGCGGGTTGCTGCCAGACGGCACGTTTGAGAGCGGGGATATCTCTGGTGAATTGCATACTCGGTTTGATACACCCACTTTTGAAGCACGATGGCTGCGAGCGAACAGCATCAAGTGCCCGGAATGAAATTGGGGGAAAAACCGAGATTTTGATTTTCCGAAGTACGTCTGGGGTAGCCAGGGCGATTTATCGCTGCTTCAAAATCCTTCTGCTCTCCTGCATCATCAGATGGCAAGCTCGGTGACCCTGATTGAAAGCACATAGCGCCATATTAACAGCCATTCCGACCCGCTGTCATGTGTGAGAAATCAATGTCAGGGCCGACCACCAGACTTTCGTGCGGGATGTTGTTCGTTATTGTTTTGCGTCGTCTGGGCTCCCTTAAACCTCATCAACGAATCGCTCCCAGAAAGGTCTATATGGATCGGCGAAAGGGCTGAAGAGCTCCACGAATTCTCTGTGGCGCTTGTGACCTCGTGTTGGTTTTCTGTGGTGTTGCCGGAGATTAATCTTTGAGAGAAGGCGACGACTTGATCGAATTCCTGAGTCGGGCCCCCATCCTCTTGCTCGCGTATGCGATGCATCCTCTCTCTTGACGACCGAACGTGAAGGGCCATACCTATATGGACTTTCGAGCGATTCAGCTCGACGCGATTCGAAGTCGACGTCGCCGATACATATGAAACCCCGCGACACTTCGACGTTCCAAGGACTGCAAACAGGGCAATTGAGGTTTACGGTCACATCAAGCACCTTCCTGCTTCACTCGTCTATGACAGCGACGACACCAATCGAGGAGTTGAATCCCTGCTCACCCACTCTCCGTCAACAGGAAGAGCCCGAGTCCTAAAGTCATCGGATATCTCAGCCTTCCTCGTCTCATCTAATTCCTTCCAGGATGTCTCTATCGCGTGGAGCTGAGCTACATTACAAGCCAAGGACATTTCCGCTCAAGCCTCATGATAATTCTTCCTTCTCCTGGGATCCATGCGGTATAGATAAACTCGCTGCATGTCTTCTTTGATTCCACATTGAGACGGGTCGTGAGTCGTTGAGCTGAAACATGAGTTTTTGGTTCGAGTCGTAGAAACGTCCCTCTTCCAAGCAATTTCACGAGCTCGGGAACGCTTTCCTCAGAAAGAACAGCAACTTCTTCGGTCGACGTCGTGATTTCGGGCTTAGGTCCGACATTGATGACAGATCATAAGCCTCTGGACTCGGTTCACCGAGCCTGCACCGCTGTTGTCTCAAGGACACGGTCCAGGAAGGACTCCAAGCGTCACGGGTCCCTCCATCGAGAGCTGCGTATCAAGACCCTCTCCTCTCGCCGTCGTATTCATCGTTGCGTTAGCATCAATAATCTAGTATTCGAAAATTCTCGTCTCCGGCTCCTCATCATCAGGATAATTCGCTTCTTTCATATTCGGTACGTGAAAACTGATTGGCTTCGCGATGAAAATATGAACATAACAATCCGACGTAGTCAGAGGGCGCGAGGCGACTGTAGTAGAATCCCGAGATTTCGCATCCTCGATAATTCGCAAATCCCGTTGATTCGTTATTTGCGGCTAATTTCTGAAAATTTTGGTCAAAATTATTCTCTCATTATTTATATATTATTGTTTAATCACCGTAATCATACAGTCTGTGATTATAATCATGATCATACGTGTGATTACGATTATGATCATAATGTGCGTATGACTATGATTACGGTCATAATCATACTCAAGCGTATGATTACGGTCATGATCATACGCACGCGTATGATTACGGTAAAATCATAATCACGGCCAAAGTTCGCCCAACACTAGTACGATTTCGATATAGAGTACGTACGTACTTCAGAGTTTGGTCAAGCGGACGCGTTGTCAAGGCTAAATCAGGAGACGAGAAAAGATGCCGCGAATTCGAGCATGGAGGAAGTCATCGCCGCGCTGGAACTCCTGGAAACGGAGGTTCACGGTTTAATCGCAGCAAGAAGGGAATTCACCCCAACAGGAGCAGCTTTCAAGGACGCGACCGCGCGTGATCCGATTCTAAAGGAGGTACTGCAGCGTCTGCTCCGTGGTTGGAAGAAAACTGATTTCCGAGATAGTTTCCTTCGCGTTTTCGCTCAAAAAGCAGATTCTTTGTGCGATGTTCAGGGTATCCCACTTTACGACGATCGCGTGATCATACCAACGGCGCTGCGAGCTCCCGTCCTACGCAAACTGCACCAAGCTCATCCGGGAATCGTCCGAATGAAAGCGCTGGCTCGCGCGCATTTCTGCTGGCCGGGTATCACTTCCGACGTGGTGGAGGTTGTCAAATCGTGTGCGTATTGTGCCAAGCAGACCGCAAAGCCGGTCAAAGTCCCTCTCGCACCGTGGCCGGATCCCGAGAAACCTTGGGTCAGGCTTCACCTGGACTTCGCTGAGCCTCAGGAGGATAACGCGTTCCTCGTGATTGTTGACGCTTTCTCAAGGTACGTCGACGCGACCTTCATGAGTCCAGCCACGAGTTCCGAGCTTGTGAAATACTTGCGGGTCGTTTTTCGTCATTTCGGTCGTCCAGAAACGATCCTTTCTGACGATGGCGCTCAGTTCACCAGTTCTGATTTCGCACAACTTTGTCAAGATTTCGATGCCGTTCATCTCCGGAGTCCTGTGTACTCGCCGCAGAGTAAAGGTTGTGCGGAAAAAATGGTTTCTACGCTAAAGTCTTCCCTGGAACGAGCTAACTCAAGAGCACTCGACGAAGCCGTGGTTGCTTACAACTATACACCGAACGCCGCTCTGGATGGAAAGACCCCAGCTGAAGTTTTCTCCAAGCGTATTCTTCGGTCGCCTTTCTCCGTCTTTAGGTCGCAGCAGTCGAGGCTGTCAGAAAAAAGTGAGAAATTCTAAAATCAATCCGATCATCATCATGGTACGCGTTCCCGCGCCTTTGCACGGGGGGAGGCAGTGGTGGTCGAACTCGACAAGCGTCGTCGAGTGCCCGCGACATTCGTGACCTCCGTCGGCAAGGCTCGAGCTCGTCTCGAATTCGAAGGCCGAGTGATTACTCGGCATCTCAATCAGATCTGGAAGCGGAGCATTCCAGTTGCGGAGGATGAAGCCGACTTCGAAGATTTCATCTCGGCTCCGTCTGACTCTCCCTCAAACGTCATGTCGCGAGTACCTGCGTCCGATTCCGCGTCCATTCCGTCGACTTCTCTGCCAGAACCGTCGTCCAGCGTGTCGGCCTCCGACGGCGGCATCACCACGGGTCTGTAGCAACGGTCGCACGCACCAGTGTGTGTCCAGGGTCCAAGCAAGCAAGGAGAACCCGTCACCAGGCGTGAGCAGCCTCCGCGCGGCGTCTAGAAACCGACTGATTGCGCAGCATTGGGAAGAGGCTTGAGTCGTCTCTTCAGACGAGCCGACTAGGTCGGAAGGTGTTGTGTAATTGTTCAATGATTTCAACGAAGTGGAATCACTAGTATATAGGCCGCTGCCAATAAACGGTCATTCATTAGCCACTCGGTAACGTGAACGCTTCGTGCTCTCCTGAGTGCCGTACACGACATTGGTATAGGGAAGACAGCTTGCTTCTTTCTATCGCAACGGCCTGTGAGCTATATTGATTGGTATGCACATGAACATTCGTCGGGACCAGGAGTCAGACTAATTGACCATCACCATACGGATTCCCGATTCCAGTACATAAGACACCGTCCTCGCGGGCAATGAGGAGAAGACCATCCGGGACTGTACCTGGGCTCTATGGGTCAGTCAGCTCGGATACCTTTTCAGCGCTGAATGTGATCATTCCCCTGATTCCACCGAAGTAACGCAGGTGTCCATCTGATCTGGAGCACCGCGATAGACTGTGAGATTTAATTGAGATGGAGCGCTTTGAGAACTTGGCCGTCGGGTTTCCAATAATATAATTGGAATAAAATAAAATAATATCATTTCTCACAGAGCTCAGCTTTATGTAGGTTTATGACATCTCGGGTTTGGCTTTGGCTCAAACCTACCTCAAATATTTAGCAAATATCACTCGAGGACGCTTATCTCAAAATGACCGATGGACGGAAGCAAAGATCATGGAGTAAGACAGTTATCCGTGTCTTCTGCCTTCCGGACGAGCTCCTTCTCCCGCACTCTCCGTTCCCAGCCAGAAGCCTCGATCGCTCGCCGGTTCTGAGTAATAAGTCCTGCGCTAAATCCACTCCCATTAAGAGATGAAACCCTTCGAGAATCGGGTCGGATCCTTTCCCGCAGGCTACCTGCCGTGCTGTGAGTGAGACTCTAGCCTCCCACAGGCATGATGATCAATTTGGGAAGGATCCCCCTGGAGTCAAACTCATCTGCTGATGTCAGCATCTTTCACAATGATGAGGAATGAAAGACTTGTTTGTGAAAGTCAGCTTTTGAAAATGCTGTCGGTGGAACAGCTGAGCACAGAGGCTCGCGAGAAGATTACAAGAGTCTCCATACCGTGGTGCATTCGGCTTGGCGAGCTTCCGAGTATCCGCAGAATGAACCTCGCCCGGAGCTTCCCGCGATCGTTCCTGGCATCTCGGATATCAGCGGGATAATTTCGAATGTTTCCGCTCCTCTGTACCATGCTTATCTCCCAAACGTACTTTCACTCGACTGCCCCAATATTTTCTGTGCGTGAATCTATGCCTTCATCCAATTGTAAGTTTCTAGATTTAACTTGGGAGTGCTCCCTTACCGAACGCGGCTCCTCATGAAGGTTCCCGCTTGGGCTCCCTCAGATTGTCCTTGAATAAGGCTTCACAGATCGGTTCCACTCAGAGGAGTCCCATTAGACGCATCTCGTCGAGGACTTCCGACCTGCATCCTGATTCCGTGCAATTGTCCCGATATCTCTGTTCGGAGGCCTGATTCGTCGCGCCGAATTCGCGACAAAAAGCACCATGATCAAACAATGATCAACACATGAATGAACCTTGAATTATTCATGATTATGACGAATGTACGATAGATCCGCACATGATCGGAACTACGACGAAAATGAAGAGCATGATAATCATGATTCGCCCATCCCGGGAATCTCTCTACTGATTGCGAGGCCTTCCCCCCTTTCGCTGCGCTGTCAAGCGACAATCAACTGGTTTCCTTTTTTTTTGCGTCGGGCACCCGGGGAGTGGCTCCTCAATCATTTTTTTGAAGCAACAAAAATTCATTTATGGGGACTCATACATCTCACCGCGTGCAGTGATAACAATACTACGACGCAACTCTAAGTGACTTTTCCGAGCACGTTTCTTGAGGCTTCGAATCGATGCAACTCTGAGGCCATGGATCAAGTGAGAGAACGAGGAGTGACGATTAGAGAAGTCTTCGCTTTACTTGATGAAATGCGCTGACTCGCCACAGAAACTGCTGATCTTCGGGAACCCAACTGCCACTCTCAACGGTTTCTCATTCGGGGGATAAAGGCAGGAATTTTCCAATGAAGCTCCCATGGCGGAAATCGCGCTGCACCGATCGACCTCATCGAATTCGGGAGGAGCGTGTAGCTCAATCTTCTTCAGACGGCACGGATTGTCTTGCGGTGAGATCCGAACGCTTCAGCGACCACATTCGATCAGCAGGATTGAGGCTCCGCAATTGGGGACACAAGACAGGATCCAACACGCAGGCCCTCAATTTCGTCCAACTGAGTCCCAATAGGCCGTTTTCCCATCAGAAATGAATCTCGGGTTGCCCGGCAGGAGCGGATCCAGGGGGAGGGGGCAAGGGGGCCATGCCCCCCCCCCCCGACGAATCTTCGACCCCTATACAAAAGCATGGGCCGCGAGGAGGCGCGTCATCATTTTCGGCTCTTTCCCCCCGAAAATATGACTTGGTCCCCCCCAAGAAGAAAAGCTGGATCCGCCCCTGTAGCCCGGCCTATTCCTTCGAGTCAACTTCGAGGGGGATTTAGCGAAATCGAGTCGGGGTGAGCCGAAACAATGTGCTAAGAAGACTATGCTCAGAATCTTCTCGGATAGCTCCTTCGGATATCGGGACTTGGTCGGAAGCGATAAGGTCAAAATCGAACCTGTCGCTGTGTAGAGAGCGGAACAAGAGAGGCATGCCTGTACGCGGCTCATTATGAGGAGGGCCGAGGCAGCGCACTGCTCTCGCTAACGTCCGCGAATGCTACCTACGCGAGCTCACCGCACAAAATTCCAACCCATCGACCCGTATTGTACAAGTCGTGAAATTTACCACCATGAGACGGATGAATTCGCCAGGAGACTGGGCTCCAGTGCACAAAGTCCCCTAGGAGAGCGGGACAATACGCAATGAGATTGGAGATCTGCTGAGAAGACTCGCCCGTGGAGCAGGGTCGCACATAGATCGAATGGATGGCCATCGACATGAGGCAGGATGAATCATAGCTATCGAGCGAAAACCATTTGAATCAGGCTCCTCCCTCCGCTCACACAGAGCGCCGAACTGGCTCGTTCACACCATTTGTTTGTTCATGTAGAACCCGGAGGAACATTCCGTATACCTGATTCTGTCAATCGGGCTCGGTGAATCAGCTTCGGTCGATCGCCTTCGGTCAAATAGTTATAAAGTCGAGAGGATAGGTTCATGGTCAGAAGGAAAGTCACCCCCTTCCCTTCTCGGGCCCCTCCCCCACTGAGAGCCCACAAAGGTGTCGCCTGGGCAGGGAGGGTAGCTCGCCGGACGTGCATCCTCCTCCCAGACCTTTGACATATACACCGGCCAGGAATGGAACAACGCCCGACGTCCTTCCCTGGCTACGAATTTTCGAGATTTTCGGTAATTCTGAAGCGAGACGACTCACGCCTATCAGCTGCTGATGGAGAACTTCTCCGTATCTCAATCAGACACCGTGAACAAATCCGAAATCACGAGAAGTGCTGAGTTTCGGGCTTCCGGTTGGGCTCGGGAAAACTCCGACAGACTGAGTGCGGAAGTGGAATCCGGGAATCCTCCGCGGATACTTAGACGGAACCCTGGCAACTCGAATCGGAGAGAGTTGGTCAGAAAGACGGCGTCCCTTTATCGAGCCTTCGCTGTGGTGGCGATGGATCCACTCGTTTCCTAGCAAGACGAGGATATCGAGACCATCAACGTCGCTGTCGCTGAGCTGAAAACGGAGTCGGTCAGCGTTGGCCGAAGACAGCAACAGAACACCATCAAGCCGGCTTATGCATGCGCTCGGTCCCAAACAGAAAAAGTGCGGACACCGGTTGTGTTGAGGCTGCCAGGGGGCCTACTCATAGCGTTCTTCTCTTCAAGATGCTATTGAATGTTCGAGAATTCATGGGGAAGTTTTTACTTTCTCGGTGTTTACACCACTCATGATTGCCTCGGGGTCAGGCATTCTCGAAGCTACACTACCGAATGAAATAAATGGTGGCTGATGAAGTCAGGCACGAAATGCTGACAGAAGAGCGAGAGGCAGAGCGGGCGAGTGAATGCGCGAAGAGATGGATGTTTGGTCGGAACTTGAATGGATACTCAAGAACCGGAGGTCTCAGTCATCAGATTGTCGTTTGCGGTTACTTGTCGCCGTAAGATGATAGCGACGAGAAAGCTGGCTGTGCTAGCAGCCGTCGGGACCAACGTTCGCAGGCGATCTTAGACTTTCACTCATAAATATAGCTGAGACGCGACCACGAGTTCAGGACGACGCGACGGGTCGCCAGATTTAAAATGCGTGCGTCAAATTATCGGTGGTACGTAATGAGCCTCGAGTTCCGGCGTTTCTCCGAGAGGACCTCATCTCGGCAGTATATTTTCCATCATGATTTAGTTTTTTGAATGTTTTCTAGAGACCACATGCAATTTCGGTAAGCCTCCGGCGAGCGAGACAGTCTCAGGGCATGGGGATAGGAGCTGGATTGCTGAGAGGACATACAATTAGA